ATTAGCTGTATTCAGCGACTACTATTATTCAATTTATAGCATTTAAGACAGGTAGGTGAGTAGGTTCATTTTTTTCATTTCTTTTTCAGAAACTGGGCGAGCTATGATTGTAGTTAAAAATACTGTATCGTCAAATTGTACCAATTACATTGTCTTTTAAATGGATGTTTTTGTTGGGCAATAAATATATTATTATTATTATTGTTATTATCTTTTTATTCCACAGACGTATCTGTCTGGTAATAAAGGATAGACCAGATATCAACCAGATATCAAAGAGACTATAAAAGGACCTTCCTTTTTTTTGGTAGAGTGCTGGTTTACCGGGTATTGAGTCACAATTTCCGTGGAAGGTTTTGGTGATAGTTCCTAATGCACCGACAACGACAGAAGTTATCCAAGCTTTCATATGCCACATCCTCTGTATTTCTATCTGGAGATCTCTGTACTTAGATATCTCATTTTCTTTCGATTTTACATTGGAATCGTCGGGAACCGCTATATCAATTAGTTGACATGTTTTCTCCTTTCTGTTATGAATTATAATGTCAGGTCGGTTTGCTTTTATTGTCCGATCCGTTATTACCGGCACATCCCACATAATACACACATCAGTGGTGTCATTCTTGATGTTGGTGACACTCTGGATTTCATGCTGATAATATTTATCTGTAACTGGAATACCAAACGAGTCACATATTTTCCAGTGAACGTAACTAGCTACATTGTTATGTCTAGCGGTATACTCTGAAGGGGCTAGTACTTGGCAACTTGCTACTATATGGCTGATGTGTTCGTCGGACTGCCCGCATATTCTGCATTTACTGTCTATACTTTGTTTTAGTATATACTTTTGGTGGTACCTTGTATTTAATGCTTGATCTTGTGCAGATACTATCAGAGCTTCTGTTTCCGCGTAGAGCTTCTCAACCAACTGACACTTCCACGTTTATCTACCTCTGTTCTCTCGAGTTGTCGGAAGAACTGTCCGTACAATGGTTTCGAGGCTACTTTTGCTAGTCTGCCTCTTTCAGCGACGTTCTTGATCTTGTGGATTCAGTTTCTGTTGGAGTTTTCGCCTCCTAGACGTTCCGACATACTCTTCTTCATCTCTTTCTGGATGGAGTATTTGCAAAGGCCATTGTCCCATTGTTTCACTATTTTTGACAGTTTGTCCTTCCCTTGGGTTATATATTCTCCGAGACCAACCATAGATGTTTCATATAGAGCTTCAATTTCTACCATTCCGCGTCCTCCATTGCGCCTCTTTACATATGACCTGTCCACGTCAGCCTTGGGATGGTGTATATGTGCCATTGTCAGCAGCTTCCTGGTTTTCCGGTCAATTCTCAGAATATCTGACTTCAGCCAATTGACAATTCCAAAGCTGTAACTTAGTACAGGCACAGCGAAGGAGTTGATTGCAAATATTTTATTTTTGGAGCATTATTCTGTCTTAAGAATCAGGCGCACACAACGATAATACTCCCTCGATATTCTGGATTTGGCATGTTCATCTTCGATTCCATCTGTTTCTTCAATGCCTAGATATTTATAGGTTTATTCAGGCTCCATGTTCATTATTATTGTTGCTTTATCTAGAATTATATTCTGTGCTTTAGTGAGTTTACCCCTTTTGAACATTGCTGTTGCACACTTATCCAGTCCAAATTGCATATTTATATCATCCGAGAATGTTTTCACTGTCATTAAAGCGCGACGCAAATCGTTCTCATTTTGGCAAATAATTTCAGATCATCCATGTATAACAGATGATTAACTGTATTGTTTGCGTCTATAACAAAATCAGTTTTTTCTCTGTTAAGCATACTGGTCAGTGGAATTAGTGACATACAAAACAGTAGGGGGGAGAGATTATTGTTATTATTATTATCTTTTTCTTCCACAGACGTATCTGTCGTATCTATTATTATTATTATTATTATTATTATTATTATTTTATTATTATTATTATTATTATTATTATTATTATTATTATTATTATTAGTAGTAGTAGTAGTAGTAGTAATGGGTGGGCCATTTAAAAGTTTCGATTTAAAAATAAAATAAAACAAAAACGGTTTGAGATATTGCCAAATTTATTTTTTTGTTTTGAAGTACAATTGTTCCGCTCAGAAATGAAATATTACTTCATTCAAATGGCTGCCGCGGCTGGCCTCACAGTAGCCCATTCGATCGGACCAATTTTCGAGCACTTTTTCGAGTGTTTGGGGCCGTATCTCGTCAATGGCATCACGAATGTTGGCCTTCAAATGGTCAATTGTCTCTGGATGGTCGACATAACACTTGTCTTTAACAGCGCCCCACAGGAAATAGTCCAATGGTGTCAAATCGCAGCTTCTTGGCGGCCAATTGACATCACCATTTCGACTGATTAAACGGCCATCGAAGGTTTCGCGCAATAAGTTGATTGTGGCATGCGATGTGTGACAAGTTGCACCATCCTGCTGAAACCAAACATTCTCCACATCAATACCATCAAGAGCAGGAACAAAAAAATCAGTTATCATGGTGCGATAGGTGTTTCCATTGACAGAAACGGTTTGCGCCGTCCCCGTCTTCAAAGAAATATGGGCCAATGATGCCTCCGCTCCACAATCCACACCAAACAGTCACTCGCAAGGGATGCATTGGCTTCTCTAAGACCTCGTGTGGGTTTTCCGAGCCCCAGATACGGCAATTTTGCTTATTGACGTAGCCACCAATATGAAAATGAGCTTCGTCTGAAAAGATTATTTTTTTCGCAAAATCGACATCATTGATTAGTTGCTCGTTGGCCCATGTAGCGAAGGCAGAACGAAGTGGATGGTCACGCGGCTTCAACTCTTGAACCAATTGAACTTTGTAAGGCGTCATACCGAGATCTTTCCGCAAAATTCGTCGTAAACTGGTGCGGGAAATGTTCAATTCTTGGGAACGATGACGTGTTGACGTTGATTGATTTTCACGCACACTCGCAGCCACAGCATCGATACCTTCGGTTGTACGCACTGTACGAGCACGCTGACGTGTTGGAGCATCAACAATGAAACCAGTTTCACGCACTTTATTAATAAACTTGCGTATACCGGGCGCTGTTGGTGCTTCGTTGCGACCGAATTTTGAACGGCATTTTCGTGCAATTTCTGCCCAATTGTCTTTGTTTTGGAAATAAATTTCCAATATTACCCACGTTGCTCAAGCGTAAATCGATTCATTTCGTTCAGCGGAGATAATATACTGAATTTTATGACAAATCAGATTGACATAAGTATTGTCAGCGTCAATTAACACGTGGTTCAAATCGAAACCGATAGATTGGCCCACCCTATAGTATTATTATATCAGTTATTCAGTTTTCATAGCATAAAAATATTAAAATCAGTTGTTCAGTTTTTAAAGCACAAAACCTAAAGATTTTTAAAATTGTTTTATTATGAAAGTTTTGAGAAAATTGAAAATCTTGAAAATTTTGAGCATTTGAAAATTGTGGAAATTTCAAAACTTGGGAAATGTGGAGCTTTTTGAAAATTTTCGAAATCTTTTGATTACCGTTTTTTAGAATATGCAAGATATTAGAAATCTAAAAAACTTTGGTGATTTTGAAAATGTTGATGATTATGAAAACAGAAAATTTTGTAAACTCGACAATTTTGGAAATTTTAGGGATTTTATAGATTGTCCAACTTTTGAAAATATGGATTTTAAAAACATGGAGAATGAAATGCTGAAAGCATTGGACATTTCTGAATTTTAGAAGCCTGTGATGACACTCAGCCCTCAAGGACCGACTTTCAGTGTGGCCTTAGATGCCTATACCTCCGCGCTTCTTAGAACTTTGTCACACTGTGACCACTAACTCTGGAACACTCCGTATATTGAGTGTCAAGTATAGTGCACTAATAATATCAGGAAGCATCTGCGAATCCATCCGTGTAAATACGGAATCCCCACCGACGCACGTGACACCAGCTGCCGTCGGTAAAAAAGTGAGAGTGGGCCCCCAAGAGCAAGAAAGTGGGGTCCCTGCTGGTGCAGACCACGGCAGGCTGATGGATTGGGAGTCAGTTGTCTCGCATACTGCGCCTGTGGTTGCAGACGCGACAGTGACGCGCGCGTTAGAATTTGCACGTGGGTAAGGAGCCTAGTGTCAAGCGGTGTCCACTGCAGCGTCGTTGTTACTTGAGGTAGGTTCATCTCGAGGCTTATGTATTCCTTCTTACCTATGGGCCTCCAAATACTCAAAGTCAAGATGTCTGTGTATCCCTCCGGGGCCGTTCAAGTATTACGTAAGCCCCCCCCATCCCCCTTGTCAGCAAAGTAAGCAAAGCTCTTACCCCCTCCCCTCATGCTTACGTAAACATTTGTCAATTAATGTATTGTTTTTTTAATATTAAAATTATAACGTTATAATTATAATTTGAAAAATAAGAAAATAGATTTAGGATAGAGATTATACATTTACTGATATGGTATTCAACATGGAGTAAAGGACAAAAATATTATATCTTACTAACATAACAAACCTATTTTAAATTTTTGGTACATATATTAAATTCAAATTAACAGTCTTCAGTCCATGAAACCCGAATACATGATTCTAAGTTTTCGATGACATTGGATTGCTTCGATTGCTGCTCAGTGTTGTGAGTTTGCTCGCTTTCATCGGATATTGGAATGCCTACGTCGTTCTCATCGAGCCATTCAACATCATGGTGCTCTAAATTTTGAACAATGCACATCAGTTCATTAGCACGACGAGCAGCGACTCTTACAGGTCTAACTTTCCTATCAGTGTGCGTGTTTACCTTTTTATGGATATTTTCGATGTGTCGGACAAAAATAATCGTAGGGCATTTGCAGGAAATCTTTGAGTGAAGCACTTAAGCGTAGAGCTAAATTGACTGGAAGATTAAGAAATTGCCCTCCTTCATCCAAAACCAAGTCATCAACTGTTTGTTTTACTTTTACAGGTGGTGGAAGAAACCTATTGTCTAGTAATCTAAATAGGCCACTTCTTGGACGACAGCTTTCTGTATTTCTACATTTTACAATTTGAAGCAAGTATTGGCTCTCACGCACATGTTCTGAATACCATTTAATGTCTGGAAAATCAGGAAGATGTTGTTCACCTGCCCCAACATATTTTGCATTAGCATTATAGCCATCAATTTCCACTGAACTCCATACTTCAGTTAATACATTTCCTGCAAATTCGAAATTAGATCTTTCTGTTCATCAGTTCACCGAAATGAGACCCAAAATGGTCATGAGGCAATATTAAACCAGCCAGTTCCCGACTAAGAGGAGCCATTCTGTGCTCTACTCTGTTATACGCACTTCTTCCAGGAGCATTGGTAGTTAAAAACAATGCATCGAGATCATGTCGCCTAAAGTGTCATGATTACCACTGGTTTTACTAGTCCATGGTCAGTTTTAGCTAATGGTCGAAACTCTTCAAGTTCGAGAAGCGTCTCGAAATCCTGAGCATAAATTTGCCGCAGTTACGCCAATAGGGACTCGAGCTTTATCATCTTGAGATATGAAAAATACTTGATCTGGTCCAAGTATGGATGCTATGTTCTCTAAATAATGGATTGATGTTTCAGCGAACTTGCTATCTAAGTGGCTCTTGTGGTGATCAGTTTGAGCCCGAATGAGCTTGATAGGGATTGTCGATACATGTCTTCGTCCCTCTGCAGAATTAGATTTTCTGGGAATCAAACGAAGATATGTCCCACTGCGACTAATGTCAAATCCTATTTTACGTAATTCTTGGGTGAGTTCATCAAGAGTTTTTACGCTGCGAATTGATTCCGTTCGTCTTCTATCATCTGCTGCACTCCTAAATAAAGCTATATCCGCGTTTGTTTTCAATAGTGAATGTTGATTGCTTTCAAGATTAGGACGTCCCACTGAATCCCTCAGAGATAGTCTTTTTTTATTTCTAGATTTTTATGACAAATATCTTGTAACTTTCTTTTCATACCATCCCTGTGTTTCTTCTGGGCAACTGCGTTTTGAACCTTCCTGTTTAAAGACTGTTTTGCTGTTTTTATTTCCTCGCGCAACTTAATGATCTGTTTATCAACTTCAGCACGGCTTGGCATAGTATCTCTGGCAGAATACAAAGCATTCAGATTTTTTTCGAGTAGAGCAATCTTATTTTTCATAGCTTCCTGAGAAGGTTTTGCTCTCTGTTTATCTGTATTTTCATTAATTTAGCATTGCTGTTGTGATTCATTACCGGGTTTTATTTTATCTTTTTTCTCTTTTTTAATATTTGATGCTGACTGTATTATAATTTGTGTTTTTTCTGCAGGTTTACAGGTTGCCTAAAAATAAAAACTTACTATGGCTTCTGCTAAAGATTCTCTTATTAAGCTACATATATACGAAGTAAGGCAATATATATGGTAAATACAAAACCCTATGCTTTAAATCCAATATGTTTAAACGAGCAATTCGTTCCGGTCACAAAATACAGGGTGTTAGTTTTCTGTATATATGTATAAAACTAACATCCTGTACTTTGTGACCAATTGACGGAATCAATCATAAGAAATAAATCTATAATATAATGAATATTACCTCTATACTTTGAGATAGGCCATAATATTTTCTAATCAGTAGAGAGAAACTTTTTGGCGATTTCTAATATTTCTAGTACTCATAGGTACCTAAAATGATTTCGTCACTCACCTTAGAAAAAAAAATTAGTAGATTGGATTTATTCTTAGTCGCCACTTGCAATTCTTCTTCGATTCTCTTAGATACAATAATATCTAGTTCCTTGTCGGATTTTGCTTGTAATTTGTAATTTCGCCACATTTCGTTAACTAACTTTTGTACATTACTTTTGTACTTACTTTCGTACTTGTATGAGATGTTTTAAAACTTTCAAACACTTTTTGGTATAACTTGGATTTGTCTCTGTGAAACGACATCTTATTTAAACATTAAACTTTGGCCAATGGAATCAATGGTAACACAAATGTTAACTTGCTTTACTATGCTTACAATACGTCTACTCGTTATAGTATCCAAACGAAAGAATACACTGATAGAGGAAATTTAGACAAGTGAACACCGCGCGGTAAGTTCCCTACTCGGTTCTAAATCGAGTAGGGGAATTACCGCGCGCTGTTCACTAAACGTATGCATTATTTGCGGGAATCCCCGAAAATGCGTTTCGTTTTCAAGCAAAGACAATGTGAGGGTTGCCATTCGTGTAAAAAAGTAAATAACTACCGATGACGTAATCATCATCTAGACTCCCCTACCCCCCATGTCATCCAAAATAAGCAAAGCAAAGAACCCCCCGCCCTCCCATAGTGCTCACGTAATACTTGAACGGATCCTCCCCCGCTCTTCAACGGCAAAATAGGGCCACGAATTTTACTTTGCCCTACGGCCCCTTCAATTTCAGGAATTGTAAAAAACATGATGAAATTTTGATATACACTCTGCACTTTCTTGCGACCATGCATGCTTTGGCTACAACCTACATTTCATCAGCGCAACATTTCTCTACTTCCTCCACCGCGGCTGCTATGTGGAGCTTAAATAAACTTTGTTAATCCGAATTGCCTAAGGTTAGTAGTACTCGGAAACGCCTCCTCAGATAGATTGTTCCACAATCTTGATACCCTAGGGACAAAGAAGCGGTCCTATCGGTTCTGTATGTACGAAGTCTGACACAATTAAATGGTCACCAACAATACCCATCCACATATTTAAAGAAAATTGTTCCTGGTGGTGACATTTTACGTAAGCATGAGGATTTTCGTCTCTCCATACATTGTATGATTTTATTAAAATTTCTGTTATTATTAACTTTTTGGTAATACCATTGGCAAAACTGTGAACGAGGTAAAAAATCTCTTGGTAATAATGCTTGCACACGTTGAACATGATATGAATACAAGTGAGATACGAAAAACATACAAGAGGCAAAGAAGTTGTATTTTTGTAAACAACAATTATTAAAGTTACAAAAAAGGCAGTTGTGTACATTTTTTGCAAATAATATTCGCTAAGGTGCCCCCTGGGATACCGCTGGACCTTATAATTTTAAGTCTATACAGGGCTAAATTAGATAAATTACAACAAATAATATTGCCAAATTTCAAAAGAATCGAGTAAATATTTTTAAAGATATTAATAATTTATTTGTTTTAAGTTATCGTGCTTTTCCGGACCCATGTTTATAGAAATCATTTCCTTATTTTTAACAGGGAATCACCCTCTAAAATATCTCGGTCTATTTTACGAGCACCGTTAATCTATACTAAGTGACATATAAATCCGAACACCCAGTTTAAATGGTTTTATTTTCATAAAATTTTGTATAAGTACTTAATGAAGCATAATAAGTAAATAATAAAAATTTCAAAATGATTGCACTGCTTTAAAGCCCTTTGACCTTTAATAATGTGTGGATGCACCCTGATGTGCTACGCATTCTCCAACGCGCCTAGGCATGCTTCTGATCAGGTGGTCAATGTCCTCCTGTGGTATCTCATTCCAGGCAACCACCAACTCCTCTCGAAGTGCTTCTAGAGTCTGAGGAGGACGTTGCAAATTGAGCAATCTCCTCCCATCATATCCCACACGTGCTCAATTGGGGATAAGTCGGGAGATCTTGGTGGTCATGGTAACAATGTGACATCATTATGTTGAAAGAAGTCTATTGTGACTCTTGCAACATGTGGTCGGGCATTATCTTGTTGGAAAGTTGGATCTGCCAGGGTGTCAAGATAGGGTTCTAGAACTTCGTGGATATAACGCTGCGCGTTCATGTTACCTTTAATGAAGATTAAAGGTGACCTGGAACCATAAGTTATAGCACCCCAAACCATAACTCCAACAGTGTGATGAACGTGTCTTTCAACAAAAAACTGTGGATTCCAGCTTTCACCACGTCGCCTTCTAACCCTGGGCACGACCATCGTGCATGCCTAAACAAAATCGAGACTTGTCACTAAAGACAATACTGTTCCATTCCTGGTCCCAGAGTGACCGTTATCTGCACCACTCAAGGCGATTACGTCGGTGTTCTCGAGCTAAAGGGAGGACCCAGTGTGGCCGGTATGAAAACAAGCCAAAACTTCTCATTCGTCGGTAAACACTTCGCATGCCAATAAGTCTTCCGTGTTCTGCAAACCATTCATTTGCAATGGACCTGGTAGTGGAGAAACGGTCCCTTAAGGCCAATAATCTTAGGCGGCGATCTTCACGGTCTGTTGTTCTACGGCGGCGTCCAGTGCTCCTTGCTCTTTGCGCACGGCCTTCTCGAAGCCATGCCTGACAACATCTAACCACAGTGTCTACTCTTCTTTGCACTCTAACTGCAATTGCCCGAAAAGAAAGTCCAGCTTCCCGAAGTCCCACTATACGGCCCTATCAAACTCACTAAGTTGACGAAATCGTACAGGTCTCCGTACTCTAGGCATCGTAACCGATCGTAAAGGATGTCAAGAACCAAAATCCGCCAACGTTGATTCTTTACTGCGGCTGAAATATTCATTTTTAGAGCGTTAGTGAATTAAAAAAAAGCAGTATAAAAACTGGAATGTCCAACTGATAAGACTGAAAATTTTTTCGCTTGTTATTTACAGTAAGATAAATACATTCACCAACTTTTATTAAAATAAAACCATTTAAACTGGGTGTTCCGATTTATATGTCACTTAGTATACTTAATCTCATTTCAATATCTCAATGGCCATTCTAAGAACGTAAGCTGAATGATCAAAGACAAGCAACTTCAAACATCTTGTATTTTGGAAATGGAAGCGTTCTTCCATATTTGACCCTGTTAACCGTGCGATTCTGTAAGGAATTTTCTGAAAATGCTCCGCAGGGGTATCATGTAAACAATCTATAAAATGTCAAAAAAACCTAAAGATGTCATCTTGCAAACTAGGTAGTTTTTAGGGCGCAAACAGTCATTCCACGTTTGCTCACTAGGATCGTTGTGAATGTCCATCTAAGGAGGAATCACTCAACTAAACAACACGCATTATTGGTTGCATATGTTTTGTGGTACTTGTCTGTAGCTTTTCTCTCTGAGAAGAAAGTTGGTTGAATAGCAAGATCGCATCTGGATGATTATGTGTATTGAATATGTTGCCAGTGAAGTATATCTATTGGCTATGCCCGACGGATTATTTTTATGTTGTGCTTTCCGAAGAGAACTTATTTATGCTCAAAGTTATAAATTACGAAAAATTGAGGAGAATTACGGGAAATCATCACCGGCCCGCGTTGTGTGTAATTACTGTCAGCATGTATACGACTTGTAATTCGACAGTGTACAGTGAATATATGTAATTATTTCTTATCTCTCTCATTTTTGAAC